CAAGTTTTATTTGTGTGAAGCTGAAAGCTGAAAAACATATGTATGCAACATTGCTTGTTCAGGATTGGGCAAGTTTACACTAGTAACATGAGGGCTACGGTAAAACATGCACTACAATAATAAGCACTCAAAGAATGTCAAACCCTAATACAGTCTGCATTAGAATTAACATTGGGCCAGTCCAGTGCAGAGAGGAACCTTCACAGCCCATAATGTAAATCATAGAAACACATATATTTACTAGTTACAAAGGCTAAAAAGAGACATGCATTCATCAAGTTCAGCCTTTCTCACATGTTTTTGCTGTTGATCCAAAAGAAGACAAAAACCCATTTTGAAGTGCTTTCAATTTTGCAACAAACCAGAAAAAAAAATCCTTCTTGACACAAAAATTGCAATTAGATCTCTCCTTGGATCAAGAAGTTATTACCTCACATATGCAAAATGATATCCCTAAATATTATATTTCTGCAATTATTCATCCAGTTGCTGTTTAAACATCTGTGCCGACACTAATAAAACCACTTATTCAGACAGATAATTCCACATCCTTATGTTGCTCTTACTGTGAAAAAAAACTATTCTTTGTCTTAGACTAAATCTCCTTTCTTTCACTCTAAATGTGTGACCTCATGTCCTGTGCATATTTCTGATTATTAGGACCCTTGTTTGGTGTATTAATTCGCACAATAAAAGTTTGAAAACTTTTCTACTGAGTCCTGTGAGATTATATATTTTGGCTGAAGTAAGCACCCAGGCAAATACAAGACCGTGAAAGCGAGTGCTGGACCCACGTTAAAGGACCACTATAGTGCCAGGAAAACTTACCTCTTTCTCCAGCCAGTCTCATAGGAAAGCATTATCAATGCTTTCCTATGGACGCTGGCGTCTTCTCACTGTGATTTTCACAGTGAGAAGCACGCAAGTGCCTCTAGCGGCTGTCAAGAGACAGCCACTAGAGGCTGGATTAACCCTAACATAAACATAGCAGTTTCTCTGAAACTGCTATGTTTATAGAAAAAAAGGGTTAGCTGGACCTGGCACCCAGACCACTTCATTAAGCTGAAGTGGTCTGGGTTCCTATAGTGGTCCTTTAATATATTTCTGATTATGAATAGATTTCCAGACAATGGATTTTATTAGCTTCGAATATATTTGTATAATGCATTTATCTACATTAAATCTGCCAGTACAACAGAACAAACATGCCTAGGCTGCAAACTATGTTGCAGCAAAAATACAGCCACTGAAAAAGCCAAATACAGAAACCCAAACAGGGAGGCCTTCCATGCATTACAACCAGTCAGCACAGAGTGAGGCCTCCTTAACAGTGCTACAACCAGCCATCGTGGAACATAGAGCACGACCAACACCTCCCCCCCCCAACTGCTCCAGCAAACATACAAAATTGTAAAGCACTGTGGAATATGTTGGCGCTATATAAATTCCTATAATAAAAATGAGCAACAGCTGCACAACCCTCCACACAGTGCAGTCATCCTGGGTAGAATGGCGCAACCCTCCACAATCTGCAGCCAGCGCAGGGCGGCACAACCTTTGGCGCAGAAAGAGCAGAACTGTGTGAACCCTTAAAAGGTGCAGCTAGCACACCATAGGATAACCTTTCATGAGCTGGCACGAACACACTTTTAAAAAGCTGAATAAACACAATCATTCTCTGTTTTACAGCATTGTTCACATTACTATGTAAGCAACTGCAAAGTAAACCAATCTACTAATTTAAACTTTTATTAATTAGAACATTTTATTAAAATAGGATTTGTGGAAACTTGACACTATGATTGCAAATTATAGGCCAAAACAACCAAATTAGAAAGAAAAAAAAACACAGCAGAGATATTTTTTTCCCCCAAAACGTCTATTGTTTCATCAGTTTCCACAATTCCTGGTTCAGTGAATAAATCGCGTCTTATTGCACACACTGGTATATTGCACTCATTATGTATCCATCCATCGACTCATTTAATGCAAGCCATCAGCAGAGCACACACTGTCAGTGAGCCACATTTCCCTGTAATAAAGGCACTACCATAGTTATAACATGGCTTCAGGGCTCCATAGAAGGTCCTACTAAAGCCCTGCAGCATTTACAGAATAATTATTGGCACTCAGGAAAGCCATCATACTTGCAGTGTAACACACTCATTGTGATTGAGTTATTGTTGATCCACTATAGAACATCAGTCTCTCCCCTCTCACTTCCTGCATTGGCTTTTCAGTCTTAAGTTATGCCACAATGCTTCTTCCTACAGATTTTGCACACCTGGAGTGCGCCTGCTACCCCAGGGGTATCATTAGTAATTAAGGTCCAGGAAAGTGCTGTACAAACTTGTAACCGTCACATGGACTGCTCCTCCTCAGTCTGTACAACATGATTTCCTGAAAACAAGCTGCAGGGGTCTATTCACTGAAGCTTTTAATTAACTTTTCCTCTGGGCTCTGTACTCTCCCTTCTGTGATCCCTGCTCTTAAAAATGCTATGGTTGTAGATTCTATCCTGAGCAGGCAGACAATATGTCCCTTCAAAAAGAGAGAGGGACTATGAATAATAGGATAAAGCTCTCACCAGGACTCAGAAAAGTAATAATGCCCTGAGACCCAGAAACCTTAAAAAATAGTTTTCACTTGGATTTTTTTTTGCCAAAGTTTTTTTTTTTATTTAAAAAAAAAAATACATCTTGTGTATTATTTAAATGTTATTCAACAGACTGGGTTACTAATCACAAAACTATATAGCTAGGAGAAATTTTGTAAATTTAAAGTGTTAAGAGACAAATTTGGAAAAATAATGTTTAAGAGGTTTTCCAATTCATATGCTACTGAAACATTATCATATGGGTTGAAATGCCCTGGAATAACCACACACATGTACAGTTTAGTGATACTCTATTGCTGAGAAGGAGGAGAAAAAAGAACCCTGATCAATGGGACACTTACACAATGTTCGGACTGTCCTGCCAAGTCCAGGACGGTTGGGAGGAATGGAAGCAGCACTTGGAAAATAAAAAGCCCTTTGTTGCAGGGTCACTCCAATCAAGTAACTCAACAGGAAAATGAACACAGACTGTTGTGCCTTTTGACACAGAAATGGGACATAAGGGATATGGCATCAGTAATTCACAGGAACTGACAAAAGGAATCACACAGTTTTGGTTAAAATATCCCCAAAATTCTAAACTTTTTTGTTTTCAAGCTTGGCTTCTTTGTTCTAGAATTTTCTATACTCTTGTCACATCTCGATTGTTCCCAATTTAGAGATATAAACACAGGAGTTTATTCTTTAAATACGGATTTGTAGTGAATTTAAAAATTAAGTAGCAACATTTAGGCAACAACAGCTATTTTGAAATAAAACATTTTAAAAAATCCACCTCCACTATAATGACAGTTTGGCTGCTTTAGCCTAAATTTTACAATTGTTGTTTTTAGTTCACCATAATTCTGGGTTTAGAATTACTACTTAGTCTTAAGTAGGGCTTTTTTGGAATGAGGCAGAGGAAGGCACATTAACTCTTAGCCCTGCCCTTTTTATCAGCTATCAGTCATTGATGGTAGATGTCAACAATATCTTTTTGAGACAAGGCATAACAGCCAGGATTAAGGAAAAAATATGCACCAAAATATGTGTATGACGTCATCCATTTCCCTAGAACTTGAAAAGGGGTCTGTTTTGTACGAGAAGGAAAACGTGATGTGGTGGCAAGGAAGGCTACTGCGAAAAGATGGTCAACAATTTTGCAGGCAATACCTAGAAGAGAAGAAAGATTATACTAATGACTTTCTACAACATTAACCTTCATGGTCCATGAACCGGTGGATGACAGATATAACCCGATATTCCATATAAACTCCCGCTTCAGTAAAGAGTGGTTCTGATCTCAGGTGGACATTAGATTTCTGTTGGACTCCCGTGAGTGTGGGCCCCTAACAATTGCACATTGGAAATTACTAAAGCAGTTGAAAGCAGGAGCCAAATGTCATGAAGATCCTATATAGAGACAAGGCAACTGTGGTAAGCATATGGTACAAATCTCAATCCAAATGTAGAACCTTATGGTGCTTCAATTGGCCACTTCTCAGTTTGCTGCTGAAAGGAATTCTTGAGCTGGAGGACAGGAGTATTAATAATTTATAAGCCTAACATCAGAACTTAAAGGAACACTCTAGTGTCAGGAATACAAACATGTATGTATTTAAGTCTCCGGCAGGGCCGGACTGGGGATTCCAAAGCAGCCCTGGAAAAAAAATCTATGCCAGCCCCATAAGTCGTTGCACCATATATATATATATCTCAATCTTTTTCCAATATAAAATATTGGTTCTTTCAGAGTAAAATCTTTAATTATACAGTAAGCATACTCACATGCAGACACAGACAATCTCACTGACACAAACTGATTGATACACAGCCTCATAGACAAACAATCTCACGGATATACATAAGGTCATGAAAATAAAAACACAAGCTCACTCAGTAGCAGGCACACACACACACACACACACACACACACACAAGCAAGCCCACTCACTAGCAGGCGCGCACACACACACACAGCTTAATGTAGTGGCTCTGGTGTCTACAGCCTGTCCCTGCAGGCTTTTCAATGTAAACACTGACTTTTTAGAGAAAAGGCAGTGTTTACATTGCTTCCTAGTGACAGACACTCAGACGGTCACTAGAGGTGCTTCCTGTGTCAGTGCGGATTGGCTGAGATCAGCACGACGTAGGGGAAAAAAAAAAGGTGAGTAAAAACACACATACACACACACATACCATGACAGACACACACCGTGACACAGACAGAAACACAGACACACCATGACAGACACACACCGTGACACAGACAGAAACACAGACACACCATTACAGACACACACCATGACAGAGACACACACATACCACGACAGACACACACCGTACCACAGACAGAAACACAGACACACCATGACAAACAGACACACCATGACACAGACAGACACACACACACACACCATGACAGAGACACACACATACCATGACAGACACACACCGTGACACAGACAGAAACACAGACACACCATGACAGACAGACACACCATGACACAGACAGACACACACACACCATGACAGAGACACACACATACCATGACAGACACACGTTAAAAGACACACGCAACTTGACACACACACCATAACACAGACCGTGACACAGACACACCATAACACACAGACACACACCATGACACAGACAGACCGTGACACAGACAGACGCACACACCATGACAGTCAGAGACACACACACCATGACACAGACACACATTGCATGACACAGACAGACACACACACACCATGACACAGATGCACACACCATGACAGAGACACACAGACACACACCATGACACAGACGCACACACCATGATAGACAGAGACACACAGACACACAATGACACAGACAGACACACACACACACACCATGACACACACACACACCATGATACAGACACACACAACACATACACTCACACTGACACACACAATGTCTACCTGGGGCTGTGGGGAGCTCCCTTGGCGGCCGCAGGGGGAGCTGGCTGTTCTGCCTCTGCTCCCCCTCCCCAGCGCACTGCTTACTGAGACCGGGGCCGGAATATGACGTCATATTCCGGCCCCGGTCTCTTTCTAGCGCGCTGGGGAGGGGGAGCAGAGGCAGAACAGCCAGCTCCCCCTGCGGCCGCCAAGGGAGCTCCCTCTGCGGCCGCAGGTGAGCCGGCTGTCTGCCCGGCCCCAGGTGCCGACGGCACACCGGGAAATTTCCCGGTATCCCGGTGGGCCAGTCCGGCCCTGACAGCCAGCTCCCCCTGCGGCCGCCAAGGGAGCTCCCTCTGCGGCCGCAGGTGAGCCGGCTGTCTGCCCGGCCCCAGGTGCCGACGGCCCACCGGGAAATTTCCCGGTATCCCGGTGGGCCAGTCCGGCCCTGGTCTCCGGCCCCTCTCGCCCCCTTTTAAAATTGTGATTTTACTCGCCTTTTTTATAGCGGCACACCGGTCTCACCTTGGCCTCGTGGCTGAAATCATCAGATTTGAGAAACTCAGCAAATCCAATGCCTTCCCATAAAAAAGCATTGAAAGGCAATTACGCATGCGTGGTAAATGCAGCAATGCGCCAATCAGAATCTCCTCATAGAGATACATTGAATAAAAGCATCTCTATGTCTCTGTGGAGAACTTTCGGCACCTCCAAGCAGTATGGAGATGCTGAACGCCAGTGCTGCATGCTGTGCAGCACTAGGCTAAGAGAAGCTCCTTTGGTGGCTGTCTGAGTGATTGTCACTAGAGGTATTACTAGGCAATAATGTAAACACTCTGAAAAGTCAGTCTTTATAGTGATAACTCTGCAGGGACAGGCTATAGACACCAGGACCACTATATTAAGCTGTAGTGGTTCTGGTGACTTTAGCATCCCTTTAAAGATGTCCATTTACCCTTTTTGTAGCCAGGGATATTCACTAAAGCAGTGGATCCCAACCCAGTCATCAAGTATCGCCTACCAGTCCAGGATTTAGGGATTACCCTAAATTGTGAATTCAAAGTGAATTGCAAATATTCCCCCAGGATAACTCAGCTGGAAAAATTCTCTACAACAAACAAAACCCGAAACACTGTTCTTGGCAGCTGCCAAGTGTATCTTATACTCATTTAATTGTTTATCAGGTTTGATTGTAGCATTCACATTTACTCAACAACCATAACCTCTAGATCAATCCCTAGTTTGTCAATGTTGGAATTCTTCAGAAATGAATCAGCATTGCTGAATCTGCGACCTACAATGTAAACAGGACATAAATCTCAGTCAGCGATACTGCTTGATGAAATATACTCTTTGGAATGGAACGTTGATATGACACAATCCTGCATGATTGTCCACATAACTCATAGGTAAAGCATTAATATTAATACTTGAGAGCCCTATCACCTCTGGCACACATAATATTAAGAACCCTAAAAAAACCCACTCTAATCTTTACCATGAAAGATGCTGAAGTCAGCCATTTTAGCAATGCTCACCTGTTATCATTGCAGCAATTCACATACCGTACTTAAATTAGAGATTTGTTTTGTAAAACATATTTTATTTATTTCATCACCAGTGTAAACACAGCTGGACATATGGACATAAAAACACAGCAGACAGACCACTGATATCGCCTTAATGGACTGTGCCTGGACACAGTAGAAAGATTGCTGACACTGCCTAAAATAGGCTGAGCATGGACGCAGGGAGAGGCCGCACAGCTCTGACACCTCCCAAATGAACTGAACACATTCATATAGAAAGAACACGTGAGACTGAGGAGAAAAGGCAGCTGCCAATAATGCACAGGCTCCATGCTAGGCCTCCTGACCCTCCCCAGTAACCAAAAAAAATGAAATAACCAGAATGTCTAGTCCAGGGAGAGGCAACCTACATCATTTTAGCTACTGTACAATTTATGTCTGAAGCATGATGGGGAATTGTAGTGTAAGAGCTATAGTGATGGAGGTTGCCCATCTCATGGATCTCTGGTTTCCCGTGACATTGGAATGGCAAAGATGTAACAACGGAATTAAACATTGAAAAGACAAGACAAATTAATTAAAATGTAACAGTCATATTAGCATTTCTTGCAAAGAAATTGGAGGCTCAGTGCAGCCAGCCTTAATAATCTCACATATTAATCTCATGCAGCGGAATGAGCACAGGAAGATTTCATGATGGACACCCCTCACCCATAACCCCTTTCAGAACAAGATTAACCCATTCCCTGTGAGAAAATGCTCGCAGAGCACTATATTGCTCTGCTAATGAATATTTAACAAGAGATGGAGGGAGGGAGAGACAGTGCAGAGATTGGGAGGATATTAAAATGAACACCAGGCACAGATGTCAGAGGGGCTGAAATCAGTTCAGAGCAGGAAGCCACATTGGCCCCTGCAAACCAAGCACCATCCCTTAAAGGACATGACACCAGGACAGATCAACAGTCTGCAGTGATAATCTTCAAGTTTCCTTTATTTGTGGCAGGATGATTAACTATACACAGTGAATTATGCATCTGTCCCTTCAAACAATGTATCTGTTAGTTATGTTCCATCCATGATTCCATTTCTATTTTTTTATATTCATTGTTCTAAAGGATCAGATGGCATATATTGCTCTGCAATGCCACAGTATCTCCTTCAGCATTACAGAAAATTAATGGCAGGGTCCTGCCCTGCACAGCCATAGTAGAAATAGGCCCTTCACGTTTTTTTGTAAATCCCTACCATTGGTGTCCTATAAGGGCAAAACATGTCAAAAAATAGTGGTGTCCACTATGAGGTGGGCACGTAACACTGACATCTTTGGTAGGCATTGCGTACAACCCTCTCCTCGTCCAGTGTTATCGCTGCTTTTTCTTCTGTTTTAGAGTCTTCCTCCTTTTTAGTATCATCTCATATAACTTGTCCATGCCTTCTGTGAGCCCTTCTCCAATAATGGCACAGGCTGGCTGGACATGGTACGGGGTAGATGGGCTCAGCTCCTGCAGTGCCAATTGTCTCTCAATCTCGGTAACTGCCAAAGACTTGGGTAGGTCCTGCTTATTGGCAATCACCAGAAGTGGGGTTCCTTGGTTCTCGGCAAACTTGGTCACCTTGTGCAATTCAGTCTTGGCCTCCTCCAACCGGTCTGCGTCCACAGAGTCCACCACATAAATGATACCATCTGTGCATCTACTGTACGACTTCCAGAGCGGACGCAGCTTCTCCTGCCCCCCTACATCCCAGAAGTGGCAGCTGATCCCTTTGGCCGCACCGTTGCTCAGTCGAATCCTCTCGGTGTTAAAGCCAATAGTGGGCACAGTGTTGACGAACTCGTTGAACTTGAGTCGGTAAAGGACGGTGGTTTTCCCTGCAGAGTCCAGTCCAAGCATGACAATGTGCAGGGACTGGAAGGAAGAAATGTTGGATGAAATATTCCCCATGCTGAGTGGTTCAGTAAAAGCAGAACAAATGTATGCCCTGTACGTGATGCCCTCCAGTGATGGTCACCCCATGCATGTCCAGGCAGTGTGGGCAATGGGCACTCTCAGTAGAAGGGAGGAGGGATGGAGAATCCCTTGCAAGAGGAGAAACCCCTAGTGCAGTGTGTCTGCTCCCTCCTCCCAGGCAGCCTCACCCAAGGTGCATGTCTGAAAACCGGGAGCCAGCTCCACAATGGGTCCTTGGGGCTACCAAGCTCTGGTAGAGGCTCCAGCAGGTCAAGCAGTGGGGAAGGCGTTGGTGAGTGTGCAGTGGGAACTCCTGAGTGAGACAAGAAGGGTGTCTGCCACATTCGAAAGCCCACTCCTCCTCCGTGTCTGCTCTCTTCTCCTTGTTACCTTGTATCTATCTCCCTCCTCCAGCTCTTCACATGATAATGTATATGCATTCTCAGCCGTCAATCCCCTCCCTCCTCACACCCCTCCAGCCCAGCCACGAAAGGGTGGGGGTGGAGGCTTAAAAGGGCAATAATCCTATGTGAGCACTGGGATTTTGCTGTGTGGTGTACAAAAATACACAAAATGCTGCACAATGTCCTGGCAAACGAGGGCTTGTTGTGAATACTACGAAGCAATGCCAACAGGGACATAATAATCAAAGGCAAAACGGGCTATTTTGGGGGCAAAGTGCTAAAGATTCAAATACATTCAATTGGTTTCCATGGTGATTGTTCCTTATTTAGCACTTTGTGCCAAAATAGCATATGCTTTTTCACAGATTACTCTCTTATCATCATTTCTCAAGTGAATGAAGGAAGATGAAAATTAACATTTTAGAAAACAGCACCAAGTATTTCAAATTTGATAAAAAATAAATAAATTAAACAACAAAAGGATTTAATGGTTAAACCTCTGAATATATTTTTTTTCACACTTGAAAGATTGCTCCCACAACAAGGAGCACAATTTTTTATATTTTTTTATATGACATACTACAGTTATCGCACAAGTAGACTGCTCCCATGGTCTGTATACTGTGTACACAGCGTTTCTATTTTAGAGGGGGCTTATGCCTACTGAAACACAAATCTGTTTTTGTGGGGTAAACAATTTCTTCAAAGGTGATTGAAGCAGCGTAATGAGTTATTAAACAATGGATACATTATTAGTAATGAAGTCATTTGTATAATTTATTTACAAAAAATTAGGAAATTTTTCTTTAAATTTATTAAATTAGTGGCCATGTCCCTAAATTTGCCAGATTCACCATGATTTCTTGTACACTGAGCTTTTCTTCATGCTGTTTGGCAATACCAATTGTTTTTTTGGTTTTTTTTATATCCTAATTTGAGCAACACTATAATGGTGCTGTGTATTCATAATTAATTATCAATGTAAAAGTGTTGCATTCAGAGAGAGCTTTCTCATACTGCACCATTTATTAATGGGGTTGAGGCAGTTGTTCCCAACCCAGTCCACAAGTACCTCCTACCAGTGCAGGATTTATGAATTACCCTATTGTGTCTAATTCTAAAGTGTTTTTTTTTCTTTTTCTAAAAACACCTTAAACACAACTGAGTAATCCCCAAATCCCAGACTGTTAGGGGGTACTTTTGGACTGGGTTGGGAACCACTGGGTTAGGCAACACTATAGTGTTAGGAAATCTGTATTCCTAACACTATCGTGTCACTCTATCATTGGGCATCCCTCTCTCCGTCCCAATAAAAGGGCTAGAAAATCTTTAAACACTTCCCCTATTACAACACCGAAGTAAATCGGTGCTGGCTCCATCTCCGCTTCCTCCAACGTCATCGCGGGGGGGATCCTAAGGCGCATGCGTGGTGAGCGTTGCACGCACATTAGGCTTTCCACATTTGAAGACCATGTACATCCTCATATACAGTGTGAGGATGTCCAGCGTCGTTTCAGAGAGTTAAACTCAGTGAAACAGCAGAAAGCGCCTCTAGTGGGGGTCTCCAATACAGCCACTAAAGGCAGTCTTAACCCTGCAATGTAAAATGTTTTTTCTAAAACTGCAATGTCTTACATTTCAGGGTTAAGGAGACTGGGACACTGCAATCAGACCACTTCAATTAGATAAAGTGGTCTTGGTGCTTGTAGTGTCCCTTTTATAAAGTATGGTTAGCAACAGAGGCGTAACTAGAATCCACTGGGCCCCGGTGCGAAAATTGCCCTGGGGCCCTCCCCCGATCTGTCTCATTCCCCCCCCCCTTGGTGTCTCATTCCTGTACCCAGCCCCCCCCCATGTACCTTATTCCCTCTGCCCCACAGCCCCTCCATGTGTCCCATTCTCTCTCCCCACTCAGCCACTCCATGTGTCCCATAGGCTCCTCCTCCAGCCTTTCATGTGTCCCATTTGCTCTCCCCTTAGCCCCTCCATGTTTCTCATACCTCTCTCCCTGGGTGTCCATTTTCTCCCTCTCTCCCCTTTCGGTGCCCCATACCATTCACCCCCCCTTCCCTCCCTGTGACATATTCCTACCTCTCCCCCCTGTCCCACACCTCCCTCTCCTCTCCCTGTGTCTTATTGTTCCCTCTCTCACCCTCCCCTCCTGTGTCCCATTTCTCCCTCCCACCCCCTCCCTGTGTCCCATACCCTCCATCTCTCTCCCCTTCCTGTGTCCCATTACCTCCCTTTTTCCCCTCCCTGTGTCCCATAGTTCCCTCTCTCCCCACTCCCCTCCCTGTGTCACATTGTTCTTTCTCTCCCCTCCCCTCCCTGTGTACCATTTCTCCCTCTCTCTCCCCTCCCCTCCAAGTGTCCTATAACCCTGTTGTTACAAAAAAAACTCAACACAGAGTGCAGCAGAAAAAAAAAAAGTTAATTTACGTACTGGTGTAAGCATGAGTACTGGAAATCTATTCATAAAGAGGACTATGCATAGGGCACCAGGTCCCGCATTTAGAGTGGAAGAAAGGAGATTTAGTCTAAGGCAAATGAAAGTTGTTTTTTTAAAGTAAGAACAATAAGGATATGGTTTTATCAGAATATGTACAGATGTCTAAACAGCAACTGAATGAATACTTGCAAAAACATAATATTTAGGATTAGAAGCTTGATCCAAGGAGAGATCTCTCTGTCATTCTGGAGTCAAGAAGACATTTTTTCCTACTTAGCTGCAAAATTGGAAAGCGCTTCAAACTGGGGTTTTGCCTTCTTTTATATCAACAGCAAAAACTGATGTTAGAAGTCTGAACTTGATAGACGTGTCTCTCTTCCGCCTATGTAAATGTGTAATATGGTGTGGTCTGGCATATACAGGGTGTCCCATAAGTCCCTAACCACCCAGCACACAGATACACAGGATACATAAGATATATGGATGGGTAGGGACTTATGTGTCTGTACACTGCTAGCACAGATGTGCTGTAAAAGCTCAAACATTGTAAAATGTTTAATAATCGCTCTGCATACTTATAAGCGCAGGGTCATTGTTGTGTCACACTAATGAAGCTTGCCATATTTTTTAAAATTGGCATTCTTACTACATATAAAAATACAATCATGCTAACTATATATATTCTATACAGCTAGAGACAAATCTATTCAATCAATCAATCAATCAATCAAGGAGGTATCCCAAAAGTACTGCCTTAATTAGCTGATTGATTTTCCTCCTGCAACATGTGAGTTTGCCATTTTCCTAGGCAGTTTTTTTTTCAGCTTAAAGAAATTATATGTACTGGAAAAAATACGGGATCTGTAAACCCAATATGTGTCCCATATTTACATGAAACTATATATTCATTGATAATGATATACATCAATTTTGCATACAAAGATCCTCTGGAGCCGACCCCAATTTAATTATGCATTTTAATGCATTTTATTGAAAAGCAATAAAAATGCAAACAAACTAAATATATTACACATAAATGTTATTCACTTAACCCTGTTTTTGCAGCTTCTGCTACAAATTCTTCTCCCACTAGAAAGCGGATGAGCCCTCCCAGCCAATCCTGGTGCTCCCTTTGTTTTTCACTGATGTTCTAACCCAGGCATACCCAAAAAATTCATAGAATCATGGGAGTTGTAGTTCAGCAACATCTGGAGGGCTGGAGTTTGGGGAAGCGTGTTCTAACCTATCTCTGACAAACTCGTTCCCCACAAATCAAATTATTCCACCACAATCTTATTTTTCTAAACACATATTCATCATAGATAAACCAATACACAGAATTGGTGGCTACCATGTGGGAAGATATGGAGTGCTATTATAAAAATGTAGGTGTTGGCATCCATGTAGTAGATTTGCCATTTAATGCTAAAAGGTTAGATTTACCTGGTTTGCTGCTATTTAGTCCAAGATGGCCACTGTCATTGAATTAGACCTTCTCATTCCAAATTATTTCTGCAGCATTCCACATTATCTTGCATGGGCTGTGAATATTTGTTGATTTTATCTCTTTAACATTTGTATTTAACATGCAATAGATACCATGTTACGTTTGAAGTGCACTTTAAAACTTAAAGAAGGTATATATTGGTTGAAATATACACAATTGTTGCCTTAATTTTACTGTAAAAATAGGGAGTTGTTTTTTTTAGGGAAAATAGATATTTTTTCATGTCAGCTGCTTGCATGCTAGATGACATGCTCCCCTAATTGAACTGTAATTTTCTATGCTCATAGTAACACGTCTCCATGCTTCAGGGCTCGGACAGGATGGACTCAGGTCAAAAAACAGGCACACATGAGGCATAGCTGCATGACGTTGTCTTTGTCCAAAACAGAAGGTTCTGTAAGTGCAGAGGACATAGCATACATTTATCCACGTGCAGTTCAGAAGAAAAGAAAGGAATACTTGCTAAGAAATGGCTCCCAGTGCTCCCACCCATTATTTGCATATAAAAACCCCTTATCTTCAAAACTGAAATAATCAGTACAATTTGAAGCTAAATAAGAGTAATTTGCTAAATGTAGGCTATTCTAGCGAGACTGGAAACTGGAGGGTTGGAAAATATCACAGCCAGCTACTTTTACATACATTTTACTAATTCAGTCTTCTCTCCTTAGTGAATAAATCACTTCAGTGTTTCAGGGATTCAATCACTAAGCAGTGACTTGTAGTGAATTGAAAACCAAATGGCAAAATGTAGGTCAAAAAGTCTCCAACTCCGCTTACTAGAACAACTTACCTATTAATGGACCACGACAAACACCATAGCCACTACAACACATTGTAGTGTTATTGTGCTAGGAGTTACCTGGCAGCCCACCAATTTAAGTAGTCAAATAATTTGCTAACAGTTTGACTACTTACCTAGGGTCCACTAGGTGCCAGCCACTTCCTGTATGGAGATCAATAAACTCCTGCTAGGAGCTTCCATAATCTCTCCTGAGCTAGGCCTTGCTATGCAGTGACAGCTCATTGGATGTGAGCATGTCGTAGTGACCCGCTCATTGTCTGAT